TTTTTGTGTTGCAAAGTCATGATTGCCTCTGGCCATGTGTTATGTGTCAACATAAACTGCATTTTGGAGCACCAATGTCACATTTTCTGCCTAAACTCTAAAGAAGTAATCTGGGATGTTTCCATGAACCACTACCAGTTCTACAGTAGACCTTTGAGGTTTATTTTGTTCTGGGGAAATAATAGCAAATATCCTTAATGCTACTAAATTCTCTGTAACTTCTCCCCTGCTTTTGTTAATTAGAACTCCTCTAAACAACAACATAGAAAAAGATTGCTCTGGCAGCAGATCTATGAACTTGTATTTCAATGTTAAGCACAATTAGGAATATATCCAACACAACTAACTCGATGCATGAGGTAGGAACCACAACCACCAAAAGCTGTCATTCAGTAGAAAAATGTTTCGGCTTCAAATATCTAATGCTTGATTCTCACTTTATTATATCTTATGCATTAATTTATTTAGCAATTTAATCAAAAATATATATTTTACATATTGTTATTATTTGAGAGATTAGTTTAATCTCTGCTTACCTTTTTTATTTGATCCGCAGGCAAGAAACAATGCTCGTGTTTTGATCACTGGTTCTTTAGATATGTTCAGAAATCGGTAAATCACTGTCTGTTAGTTCTAATGTTCTTATAATTTATTCTAACAAATTAATGTTGGTTGCATCAGTTTTTTTAAATCTCGTGTGCAGCAAGCTGGAAGCTCTATCAAGTAAGTGTTCTTTATTTGTACAACTCCTTATCTGTTTTGTTACTAAACTAATTCCAATTTAACTTAGACTTGTATATGAAAACCTTTGCTGGCTTTCTTATCTAAAGAACATTATTATTGAAAATGTTTGGTCGTTTGCTCACTGTCATAGTTATACTGTCAAGAGGAAAGGAAACTCTCTCTTTCTCTCTCACTACACTTTCTCCTTTGAAGTCGTAAATTTCAAACAACTATTTGTAGACTATTTATTCAACATCATTCTATTGTGAGGAAAACCTGTTGAAACTTTTCACATAGCTTCCCTTCATATAGTTTTTCTCCACACCTGACTCCACTTCTGATTGTGGACATGTGATCATGATGATCCTCTTCCATGTTTATTGCAACATTAGATAGATGTGGTCCTTCTTGTGTAAATTTTCTATATAGATTGGCAAGTTTTCTTTCTGAGAATTTTGAAAAATGTTGGATCAATTGGCTGCAAAGGTAGTTTTAACTTTTAAACATTTAAGAAACTGTCTAAGGGGAACTTTGCCTTGCTGTCACAGGCATGAGAAGTCTGGCAATGAACAATTTGTCTCAGAGATTAGCAAATGGGTCTTCCACGAAAGGGGCCATCTCAAGGTGAAGGATTTTAGAAACTTAGTTAATCACCGTCCACAGATTTTCACTCGTAATTTGCTGAATGAAATCAACATGTAGTTGGAAAGTTGATGTGATTTTATTAAATATTGTTATGGAAGTGAAATTATTTTTATTTAAGATTGTTAGCATTCATTGCCAACTGCTGTATATATGCAGGCTGTTAATTTGCACCATCACAAAGTTGGAGAAACAAGTGAGCCATCTATGTACCGGATTAATGATGATTTGGTAATTGTTTTGTAGCCACAAATGTTGGTGTTCTGAGCATGAATATAGGGAATAATAAACAGGTTGTTGCTTGCGTATTTTTTCTAAATGAAATTTTGGTGAAGGAATATTCTGTTGAAATCTATGAATGGTCTGGTTCAAGCTGGGAACCATACCTAGCAGATGATGTGCAAGTTCAGTTTTATATGATGAGCCCCTATTTATTGAAAACCTTGTCCACTGACCAGAAGGTACATTTCAGTTTCAAAATTGTCTAATCGTGATCTTCAAATATCTTGCAGACAGTAAATACTTCAGTTTCCTAAATCCTTGTGGTTCTTGTTGCAGGGCTTATATTCAACTTCATTCAAGGTTCCTGATGTCTATGGTGTATTCCAGTTTAAGCTGGATTACCAAAAGCTTGGATACACAAGCCTATCACTTTCAAAATAGGTGTGTGATGTCTCCGTAGTTGGTAGTTTCTTACTGGATTACCAAAATCTTGGATACACAAGCCTATCACTTTCAAAACATGTGTGTGATTTCTTCAGAGTCTGTAGTTTTTTACACTGATACTGGATAGTCTGGATTTGGGTCACGTTGTGCTTTTCTACACTGATACTGGATTTGGGTCACATTGCGGTTCCTTTTATATTCAGTGGTATAATCACTGCATTGATTATAGCTCTTTTCCCTATGCATCAGAAACATAACTTGGTTAAATGACCCAAAGATTGTGATCAGTACCATGGAAAATAGTGGCTCTGATTGGCAGATGGACTAGACTATGAACTAGTTAGATCACTTGTGCACTTGTGAACAGGAATTTGTTTTGAAACACTGTAAACAAACACAGACTTTTGTCAGCTAGGTTTTTTATTGATAGGGTCATTCAGTTCCTGCAGAACTTACTTTTTAACTATTCTGATAAGGGGTAGGGCTATGCGGAGAGGAAAAGTTTTTTTTATGATAAATTTAATTATATTTTGATAAGGGGTAGGGCTATGTGGAGAGCAAAAGCTACTAGAGCCACATCAGGCTTGTAGATAAATTTAATTATATTTTGTTCCCAATATAGATAAACAGACCTAATCAAATTTAAACTGTTCTTTTGCAGATACCTGTCCAACCTTTCCGGCACAATGAGTATGAGAGATTCATAACAACTGCTTTTCCATACTACGGAGCATCATTCTCAACTGTGAGTTCCCTATGTAACTCTTTGTTTTGCTTTTTAGCAAATCAGAACAATAATGCTAACAACACAGCTAGCAAAAATGACTTTGTCGATGCATGGCATTGCATCTTTTATGTCCCATTCCAGAGTTTTTATCTTATGCATGTATGATGTATAAGAAACTATTGTAGAAAATGGCAAGTATGCCTCACATATAAATTTTTTTTTTCTTTATTTCTGACAGATGGTGGGATTTTTCGTAGTCACCATTTTTTACCTCTACAACAAGTAGATGTGACGGCCGGTGATGGATTTGTGAACCTGTGTCTAAGATTGAGTGGGCTTGAAGAAATTCTGGGTAGCATATTTAATGCCCAAATTGGTTGTTGCACTATTCAAAGATCTAAGTTATTTAAGGCCATTGGATCTAGGACTTGCCAACATTCTTGTCTTCACTGAATTGGAGTCAGCATTAGGGATCATAAAAATGTCAACTCTATGGGTTCAGGGTTAAGAGGTAGCGCTTGGCAAAAACTAGAAAATGATGTATTTTCCTCCTAGTAAAATATTACATGAACCTTTTATCCGATAACAAGAGCGTTGGCAGCAATGCTACATAAGCTTTTTTGTTGTCAATAATGGTCAAGTGGTGGGAGAGAAGACTTTCTTTGAACTTGTGATTGGATTCATGTGTTCAGTGGGACATGATATGATCATCCGAACTAATGCCATGTTACAGAGTTAAGATGTATCACTGATGTTTCTGAACCTTGATATCAGGTGTCTCCATCCTACGTAGATTCTTCTGAACCTTGATGGTCTTGCAAGCATTGGAGGAGAACGTTGTATGCATTAAAGCATCCAACTCCAAGACTGTGACTTGACAGGAGGTTTATGATCATTGTGTACCTGTTTGATTCCATTAAAGCGATTTCATCATTGATAGAAAAAAAAAAGGAGTCTCTTTGGTTTCATGTTTAATAACTTTTTTTTCTTGAAATGATTTTACTCCTATTCTCCTCGTGTTATACCTCCAGTGCAGAGATCATATATGGTGTGTAGCACTAGGGCAAGAGAGGATGAAGAGGCGTCGAGAAAAAGGATGATGCAGTGCATGAGGATTGTTCTACTCAGGTTTGTTTCTGCTACGTGACAAAACATTTATGATTGGACTTTACTTTTGTCGAAAGCCTATCATTTGGTTTCTTATTCAGATGAGCAATTGCCAAATTTGGATGATTTGGAAGTGGGTGGTATGATTGTTTATGCGCAGTGGAACTTGGAATTCCTTAATACGATTTGACTTCGGTCTTCATGCCAAACAAATATGGCATCGAAACCATAGACGACATCTTTGCTTGTTGGCCGTGGGCATATTTGTAGATTCTGATGAGCTGTCTCATCACAATCAAATCACTGTCGTCGTCGTCGTCGTCGTCCAGCCAATCTTTTTGGCTGTTTTCTCTTTCAACTCTTTGCTTGTACGAAATTGATGAGATTTGGTGTTGATATCTCACGTTTCTCATGCAGGCATCCCAAGATGATGATGATGATGATGATGATGCCTCCACGACCAAACCGACTCATCTTGCAATTGCTGATGGCGAAACACTAGGCCGATTCACTTTCGTCGTTCCGAAGCAGGTAAACATCGTCGAGGCTAATTGGTTGGTCTTTACGTGACGTCAACTCTTTCCTTCTAAAACGCAGCTTCTTGGAACGACATCGCACCGGCGATGATAAAGCGATCCGACGGCCTGCTAAATCCTCGGAAGATTCGCTATAATTATCACGCGGAGGAGGAGGAGGAGGAGGAGGAGGAGCACGCGTGGTATCAGCTCCGCCATCGAACCTCCCTGGGTAGTCTGGTCCGGGACGAACCGGTCAAAGGTTCGGTGATTTCATAACCTCCAGCTTAATAAATGATATAAATATATATATATATTTAATAGTTTAATAAATATCTAATCAGAGGAGTATTTTTTTTAGAAATTAAAAAAAATTAGCTTTGAAGTTAAATTTGAATATTATTGATAAGAACATTTAGTTTTGATTAAGGAGTAGGAAAACCAAAGATTTATAAGTTTCTAGTATCATTCTTATTCTCAAACATATTTTTTGGGATTCGTCCCAAAAATATAAAATCGTATGAGCTTAATACTTTGTCGGCTTTTGTATTCCAGTATAAATGATGATAAAATATTGAATTATCACATGTACAATATATAATATGTATATATGAAAAAAAAAGGTTGAAAATTCTCATAAGGTACATGTGACCTAAATAGCAATTGACCAGGTTGATGCAAGTTATCAGTATCCAATAATTAGTAGGATGTTGTCAACAGGCGAGCAAACATCTCTAGTGGAGATTCGTTGCTTATATCCACACACACAAAACTCTGTTGTTGCTTAATAGAATGTCTAAAGTTGGCTCATCTGGTAATCCCATGCAGCTGAGATCATATACATGAAACTAATCATGCATGCATTGAACTTTAATATTTTATCAGTCTTGTTTTAGTGAGAACTCTACAACAACAGTCAGAAATGGGACAACAGGGACAGGTTCATCATGCATGCAGAGCTGCTACGTAACCTTGTTTGAACTGTTCTAATACTACTATCAAATGATTCTGATGATGTTATTACAGGCAGTAGTGCTGTGGCCAATGAGAGAGAGAGAGAGAGAGAGAGAGAGGAGTTGCTTCCCAAGAGCTCCATTTGCCCAACGCCTTCCTCTTCTTTCCTCGTTTCTCATGCGTACAGAAGTGTCCACAAAACTGACACGCTTCCTCTTCCCTTCGCCTCTTCGGCAATGTTTTGTGTCGTTAACACGTCCCCGGCTTCCCACATTGCTCTGCTTTCTTTCTTCTTTCCTATATGAACACCTCGAAGGCCCATCGAGTTTCGTTCTCTTCTGGTTTTAGTCCTGTCAAAGAACACCCATTTCTCTCTTCGTCTCTCCTTCCTTTATAGCCTCGTCTTATCATCCTCAGAGTCCATAGACCCTCGCCTCGTTTTCTTTGATTTGTTCTTCGAAGGAGAAGCCAAATTTGATCTTTCTGTTCTTCCTCTCCCTCCCCCTGCATTTGATTTCTGCTGATCGTCTCTCCTTCTTCCTCCACTTTTAACGCTTTTAATCGGGAAAAAACTCGACTTTGATGGGCGCTCACCACAGCAAGAGGCCCGACACGCCGTCGGTCCTCTTGGACGACGGCGGCGGCGGAGGCGGCAAGGCCGACATCCGGTACGTGGCGGAGCTGAGCTCCTACGAGGCCGCCTGCCGCCTCGACCCCGAGCTGCAGGGCTTCGACTCCACGCTGCAGCGGTGTACCAGCCGCGTCATCTCCTCCCTCGCCCTCGGCGTCGAGGTCCGCTCCCTCTCCCTCGACTCCCTCCGCGAGATCACCGGCTGCCTCCTCGAGATGAACCAGGAGGTGGTGAAGGTCATCCTGGAGTGCAAAAGCGACATCTGGAAGACCCCCGAGCTGTTCGGCCTCGTCGAGGACTACTTCGAGAACAGCCTGCACACCCTCGACTTCTGCGCCGCCCTCGAGAAGTGCCTCAAGAAAGCCCGCGATGGCCAACTGATCATCCAAGTCGCCCTGCAGCACTTCGCCGAGGAGGAAGCCGAACCCGAACCCGAACCCCAAAAGGACGCCAAGAAGAAGTACTCGAGGACACTGGAGGAGCTGCGGCTATTCAAGGCAGCCGGCGATCCCTTCACCGAGGAGTTCTTCCAGGTCTTCCAGTCCGTCCACGGGCAGCAGCTGCTGATGCTGGAGAAGCTGCAGCAGAGGAAGAACAAGCTGGACAAGCAGCTAAGGTCCATCAAGGCATGGCGGCGCGTGTCGAGCACAATCTTCGCGGCCACCTTCGCGGCCGTCCTGATCTGTTCGGTGGTGGCGGCCGCGGTGGCCGCGCCTCCGGTCGCCGCGGCCCTGGCCGCCGCCGCGTCGATCCCGATCGGGTCGATGGGCAAATGGATCGACTCGTTGCTGCACGACTACCAGAATGCGGTGAAGGGGCAGCGGGAAGTGCTGAGGTCGATGCAGGTGGGCACCTACGTCGCCATCAAGGACATGGAGAGCATTCGGGTGCTCATCGACAAGGTGGAGATGGAGATGGCCTCGCTGCTGGCTGATGCAGAGTTCGCCATGGAGGACGCACAGGCGGTGAGCATTGCGATGGAGGAGATCAAGAAGAAGGTGGAGGTGTTCATGAGGAGCGTGGAGGAGGTGGGGGAGCAGGCCGACGGATGCAGCAGGGACATCAGGAGAGCCAGAACGGTGGTTCTGCAGCGCATAATTAGGAATCCAGAATGAAGGAAGGAAACCCATGCCATCCATCATTCTCTCATTCACCATCTGTTAACGCCACATGATTTCTTGAATTTTCTTGTTGATCTGTACCTACCTTCTTATGTATTGCATGTATCCCTTCAAAATTAGTAATTTCATGTTTATTCCTTTTTATTCAAGTTTAGAAAATTAATATATATATATATAACATAATAATTATAAGGCACATATACTATTTGCAAACTACATGTAAATGATAAATAATAATAACAACAATAGATTTCAAATTCCGTATTCATCATTTACCCTTTACAAAAATATAAAGCTCAAATGGGATGAAAACAACACACCCCAAAGTTCAGAAAACCTTAAGCAGAACACAACCGATACCACAAGATTGTATGTATCGACTACCATCATCAATCACCCACTTCAACACTTGCTAGTCATGCATTGTGATCTGATGCCAGTGCAATATGCAAATGAGAAAAGAAAAGCACAAGACCAAGTACTAATAAATTGTCTGATAATCTAAGAAATAAATCCTTTTTTGTTTCAGTCGGAATAGAGGAATCACAGCATATCACCGAGTCCGAATAAGACCTTTTCAAGAACCACATACTTAAGAAACTACACAAAGTCTGATGAAACTTTCAACAAATAAAGCATGGAACAAGTAGCCGACACTGTTTGGCATGACTAGAAATCCAAATTGGAGTCGATCTCTCATGGCTCAACCGTCGTCACCTGCTGCCACTCACCATCCACGGCTTCCTTCCACAATGTGACATTATTGTTCCCGTCAGCTACAGCTAAAATGTTTCCGGTGAGTGACCATGATACTCTCCAAACGGGGGCGTTGAAGTTATTCAAAACTTTGCCCTCCCATTGATCTCCTTCCTTTGCCACTGTCCATATGACGACTGTTCCATCCTGTGAAGCACTGGCGATAGTAGATTTTGGAAGCCCCAAGTTTGGTGCCCAAGCTACATCCCGGACCCAGTCGGAATGCATCTGGAGAGCCGGAAAACAGTCCATCTTCCAGTTACCATTGTAAAACTTCCACACTTTAACAGTGTTATCACAGCCACCGGAAGCAAGCTTCTGCACAGGATCAAGCTGTCCTGAACCAACAAGGACACCTGGGGCCAAAGCTGGAGCCCATGTGACCGAAGTCACACCCACTGGATGCGCCTGATCGATCCTCGTAGTGTCCCAGCCACCATCAGTTCGTGCAGTAAAGACTGAAATGTTTCCGTCTGAGGAACCACAAGCCAAGCAGAGGCCGAGCTCATGAGGCGCCCATGCAATAGAGTTAACAGAGCTCTTGTGCTCGGTGAAAACATGTGCCTGAATCCACTCATCGGGTTTGCTCCCTTCCTTCCATATGATCACCCGGCCATCATAGCTGCAAGACGCAATCATAGACCCGAACTTGGGATGTGCCCATGCAACTTGCCAGACTGGCCCATGGTGGCCACTCAGTGTGGCAAGGTGCTGGTGCGAAGAACCACTCACACCAACAATCTTGATCGTCATATCCGAAGATGCCGTAGCCAGGCGCTTGCCATAGTAGTCCATCGCCACATCATGGACCACATCCTGGTGACCCGTCTCTATTTTCTGCGAAGGCATTGTTCCAGTCCTGTATTTCTCTTGCAAATTCTCTGTTGGGAACAAAACAATAATGTATGAAAGTGTCTGATCGAATCAAATTCGAACCATAGGGAGCCCTTTCAGCTCAATCTAATGTAACTATTATGTTATTCCGATTATCCAAGACCAGATGTAACAATTTGGAAATGAGTACTTTTTATCTTTCCATGTTTCTTAAGCATTCAGAAGTCCTATAGGAACAATATTGTTGGTACAAAATTGTGCAAGCAAACCAAATTCAAAATGTAGGCATTCCTCCTTTTTATCCAAAATCAGATGTATACAATTTCAACTTAGTAAAACAACACAATATTACATTTTCATGTGTATAAAATTGTACTATATAACTAATATTTAGCAACAATTTGACATGTGAAAAACAAAAAGGACAAGAGAGGCAATATGCGCCATGCATTGAATTTTTGATATGCTAATTACAGGAGAAAGATATATGCACTGAAATAAGCCAGTCAACGGAAAGAACTATAGAGCTACACAAATAGAACATGAACAGATCAATCATTGCACAAATCCAGATCAGGCCAATATTAATAACTGTTGTAAAAAAGTCCAAAAATTTCAGGAACTAATCAATATTAACTCTTGCATCAGATCAGCGAACAAAAACTTATGATCGCAACAAGCCAATGAATGCAATCTGCACTTAGCCAAGGCGATTTGAACAGTAAGGGATTTACGCGTCATTAGAACCACAAGTAACTACGTCAAACAAACATAGGAAAAGTGATCGGATGAACGGAACCGTGGAAACCACAGATCGTCGAACGGTTGGGCAATTCACCAACGCAAAAGACGATTGGGCCTAGATTCCGTTTGCCCGTCACCAGATCTGCGAAAACCAAATCCAGATCTGATCGAAAAGAAATGCCTTCTCGAAAATTGATTGCGAAGATGTAACGGTTAGCAAGAGATCCACTGAAAGGGCTCAAACAACTACAAACAGATCGATCGAGAGACGAAGCTTACGATTTGGAGAGCAAAGGAAGGCCTCGAAGAACTTCTTCAACGGGGAGAAAGAGGAGAGATGCCGTCGGCGCCGTCTGCCGGACAAAAGAGGACGGGAGAGAGCCGACGTTTCTTTAGGTTTGGGGATCGAGTGAATTGGGCGCTCGTTTTCCGGAATTAGCCCTCTCTTCCTATAAATATTTCTCGGACTAGCCTCGACTCCAAATTAATACGGACACTATACTGCTTTGACCAGCATGGTATTTTAGTAAAAATGTGTATTTCTAATGGCATTTAATCTATTTGACCCGTTAACCCGAATTGACGCACTTGCGGGTGAAGAAAAAAAACAACCCGAACCCGATCGATACATCGAACAGTTTAAACGGGCCTTATTATGCCCAAATTATTAGCCTATTCGGCCCATTAGATGTCGCCTCATTCACACACCCCTGCTGCGGCTGCTGCTGCTGCTGCTGCGGGTCTTGGAGAGTGCCATCGCCGGCTCCCCCATGCCGGAGCTCTCAAGATGGTTGTTGCTGTTGTAAAATGTCATTGTTGTCGACAGGAACATCATCGGTATCTGACCTTTGAGGCTGCAATGCAGTGAATGGCATCTCCATCTATTTTCTCTAGGTGAGTCAGCTTCTCCCTTGAACCCCATCAGAAGAAGAAGAGGCGTGTCAAAGCCGTGTTGAATTTGAAGCCCATGGATGGTGGTCAAGTCCATCAGGTTCGGTGGTGAAGAAGCTCGAAACCCAATTGAACATGTTTGATATGTTTCCATGACAAAAATGCGCATGTTAGAGATGTTCTCATTACATTTGTTTAGCAGATGATGGGACTAAAAATGAGTGAGTTCAGAGAAGATGGTGTTGCAGAGTAACAAAGAGGAGTAAGTCTATGTATCATTTCAGTAGGTAAAGTTGCTTCCAAACAACCATTTGCATTTCAAAGTTGAATTCGTCACATATGTTTAGTGGTTGGCAGGCACTTTCAAGAGCACTTAATGTGATCAGGTACCTGTAACATGCACGCACAAGCTCTTGTTTGAGATCCATTAATACTAGTGGGTCTTCGGCTGTTTATTATACTGCTTAAATTTCTGTATGCTTGAATAGGTTTTGCATTCAAGCCAATATTTTTGGATACTTTGATTCCATTGCATGTGCAAGTTTGGCTTCAACACTCATGAAATCTCTCAGAGGAACTCATTCAATCTTGAATTTTCTGGCACATGGCTTTACTTTTCTTCCACCATTACAATATATGATGTGCTTGGGGATCTTCATTTTCATTCTTTGAATCATGTTCCTTGGAAGCACCAGCAAAGGTAATTGTAGATGATTGGAATCATATTAGTTGGTTTGACTTCCAAGTGCTTCTGCATCCAGCAAGTGTTGGCACTGAAGAGATCCGTGCATTGCAAGACTGCAGGAGAGCTAATAGATGTTGATGCGGCAGAGGAAAGGGCAGCTGAGATAGTCCCAGGTGTGCTGCTGTATTGATGAACTCCACATGCTTGGCATTGAAGTGCTCCTTCCTGAGCAATGTCTTGTACAAGGAGATGGCCCCAGTGCTGGTTGTTGAGACAGTATGAGGGATGACAACCCATGGCTTGCTGCTTGATTCTTAATTCATGCATTGACCACCATACACAGAATGCAAGAATTTTCAACATCAGGTGCAGAGAGGAAGATGTGGAAGGGTTGGAAACGTGAAGGTTTCTTGATAGAGACAATGGCCTGAGAACTCCTCAGGTATACAGTCCACCTTATCAGCAGCCCGCAGCAGGCCTCAGCTTACTGAAGAATGATGTATGATTGTGTAGATACAGGAAGTGGATGAAGTGAAGGCATGCGGCCTAATGATGCATCTCTTGCTGTTTCTCATTCAAAACTGAAAGGCTACAGCTCTTGTGTTTGAATCTGAACCTTTAAACGTTTTGTTGTGACCAGCAATCAATCCTGTTCATTTCAGATTTGAATTTGTGTGAAGTCTAAACATTTGAATTTGCTAGTGACTGGTTGGATCATCATCTTTGAGACTTTATAAAAGGGGTTGTGGAGGACATGTAAAAGATCATGTCACACCTCTCAGGCACAGGAGAATCATGAGTTGTCTGTGCTTTTGCTGATGATATTTACAAATGATGTTAAAGAAGTCTCAGCTAAGGTTTTACCCTATATAACCTACATCAAGGAGCCTGTCCACTTGCATATACTGCAAAGGAGATTGGGGGTACCAAGGTAGCATATTAATTAGTGTCAGACTTGTGGTCTCATGTGGTTCTTCTCTTGTTTTGGGGGAGTTCATTGCACTTAGAGCCTGTTACAATCAAGAAGAAGAAGAAGAAGAAGAAGAAGAAGAAGAAGAAGAAATGTAGTGCCAAAAACACACGTTGGCATGTGGGACATGGGAGCATTTGTGTGTGTGTGCCAGTGCAGGCTTGTTGTTTTGTGCTGGTTTTGGGACATCCAGAGCATCTGGTTCTAAATCCTTCTCATGTCCCTGTCAAGGCATCAGGCATTTGACCAAGATGAGAAAAATATTTATG